AAAAGTGACTTCTTCCACCCCAAGGAAACTCTGTCTCTGAAACAGCTATTACTACATAAGGCACACCTATTCAAACCAACAGAATTCAACACCTGAAAAGAGAACACCAATACTCACCGCTCACTGCCTTTGAGTCAAATAAGCCTACACCCAACGTAGAATTAGAGATTTTGATCTTCATAAGAGTTCACAATTTGTTATGGACCAGACCAAAACCCTTCAAAACATGTCAAGGAGATAACCTAGACCCTAACTTTTATTTATTTTAAAGGCAAGTGCGAGACATCGTGTCTAGATACAATTTGATTGGTTAAACTACTCGACTTTAAGCAGAACACACCTTATTTTTACACTACAGTTAAAATAAAGACTAAAAAAGGAAAGAATGCGCTTAAGTGTAACTCTATCAAAAGGCTTTAAAACGCAATATATACATAAAAACCTTACAAATTAATTGTTTCAATATAGTAACTGTTGCAAAGTTGAGTAGATTAGTTGTGGATTGTAAGGCAGGAAGTTAGATACTGATGTTTGTAAAATGCTGGGGGTGGGGGGAAGCATGAGGGGAAGATTATACACAAAAATGATGCACTTTTTCCATACTTAGAGATTTAAACAAAATGTCTGTGGGCAGCAGGTTGTGGGTTTGCAGGTGCACAGAAAGCATTCAAATTGAAACATGTGTATCAAAACATCATACAGTTAGCGAGTCAACAGAGAGGAATAAGAGCTCCCACATCCAGCTTCAAGACCTCAGCAACTGCTGAAAGCTAAAACAAAAAATCCTGGTTCTATGGGAGGTTGACCCCACCCATTCAGGTTGCTTCTATTGTTCCAACTTTCAAAGAAAAAAAACAAGGCCTCACAAGCTGTTTACTTTATTGGCTTTGAGCCTATTGTTCTGTATCTCTCTCACACCCTCTCTTCATTAAAAAAAGGACAAAATACACCTCTTAAAGCCATTATATTGTCACACTTGTTTGTAAAGAATTAATTGAAACTGATAGCAAGAAGTGATTATAGAGTGGGAGGGTGTAGTATTTGTGTGGGTAAAGTTCAGGAGTTGTCTACAAGCCTCCTAGCCATAGTCAAGTTGTGGGGAAGAAAATAAAACCGGGGTTTAAAAAAAGGCATCCAAGAAAGGAACGATTTCAGTAATCATGGGGGTCTTCAATAGGCAGGTGGACTGGGAAAATCAGGTTGGGTCTGATCTCAACAAATTTGTGAGATGTCTACAAGATAGTGTTTTTTGGAGCAGCTTGTGGTACAGCTTCCTAGGGAACAGGTAATTCTGGATTTGGTGATGTGTAATGAGGCAGCCTTGATCAGGGTGAAGGAACCCTCAGGGGATAGTGACCATAATATGATAGAATTCACCCTGCAGTTTGAGACGGAGAAGGTGGAATCTGATCGGAGGGTATTACAATTGAGTAAAGGTAACTCCTTTAGCCTTGACTTCAGCATGAGCTATCTGTGCTAACTTACTTGATTCTGAATCAGCCTCCTGAGCCTCAATTAATGAATATATAACGCCTCTTTTTAAATATACTCATTCTTAAATAGAGTTTCAACTACTCTACCATCTACTTGTGGTAGTATTGTGACCTCTGGTGAGACTTTGTTTAGCCATTGCTCTAGTCACTACCCATAACAGAAAAATACCAGGGACCTGTTCCTGTAACTGTTCAGATTCTTTAGCCTCAACTGGACTTTCTGTGATTAAAGGTGAAGCTATGACTTTCATTCCTGCCAACTCATTCCCCAGTTGTAAATCAACTGCCCCAACTACCACTAGTCCAGACAAGTCAACGGAACTGGAATATACTCTTCTCCTATTGTGTTTCCCAACTCTTTGGCTTCCAATGAACATTCTGGAGGGACAAACAAAATCCTTTTCCAGTGACAGAGTCTGAGTAGCCCCAATATCCACTAGAATAGTTATGGATTGGGATTCTTCCTTTGAAGAAAAAGGGGTTACAGAAACACAAGTGTTACAGCACAGAAGGAGGCCATTTGCCATAACATGCCTAAACCAACTTGTTAAATGAACATCATTACCTATTGCTAATCTGCTTTTTCCCATTCCTTTGCACATTATTTTATATAAATAATCATCCAAAATCCTCTTGAATGCCTCAATTGAACCTGCCTCCACCACATTTCCAACCAGTGCACTCCACATCCTAACCACTTGCTGAGTGAAAACATTTTTTTTTTCCTGACTTCACCCTTGCTTCTTTTGCAGATCACTTTAAATCTATGCCCGCTCATTCTTGTTCCTTTTACAAGCGGGAACAGTTTCTCCCCATGTATTTTATCCAGCCTCCTCAGGCTATTGAAAAAATTTTGAAATCAACCAGATCTCCTTTTAGCCTTCTTTTCTCAATCTTGTAAACCCTTTCTGCACTCTCTCCAATGCACTCCATCCTTTCTATAATGTACAAAAATGTACAGAATATTCCAGCTGAGGTCTAACAAATGTCTTATGGAAGTTCAACATCACCTCTTTGCTCTTGTACTCAATGTCCCTATTAATAAAGCCAAGGACACTGTGTTTAACTGACTGCTTTCTCTACCTGTGTTGCTACTTTCAACGTTCTGTACACATACAACCAAGTCCCTCTCCTCCTGCACCCCTTTTAGAGCTGTTTCCCCTATTTGATAGTGCCTTTCAATTTCTTCCTATCAAAATGCATCATCTCACACTTCCCTGCACTTTTCCCTTTAGATAATAACCATTCATAATTCTATTCTAGCCTAAGTATTTATTTTACACACACAGAAGCATCTACATCTGGTCTCTTAGTTGTAGTTAAAGCCGCAATCTGCTCCATGGCCTTTCCTGTTTTGTTTCTTTTTTAGACTCACTCTTACAAACTTCAATAAGTCACAAAATCATAGAATCATACAGTATAGGCCCTTCAGCCCATTTAGTCTGCACTGACAAGAAAGGTTATTCTAAATCTACACTAGTCCTACTCTCCAGCACTTGGCCTATAGCCTTGAACACTATGACATTTCAAGTGCTCATCCAAGTAGTTTTAAAGGTTTGAGGTTTCCCATCTATACTATCTGCCCAGCCACTGCATTCCAGAGTTCCACTATTCTCTAGGTGAATTAGATTTTCTTCAAATCTCCTCTTAACCTCCTGCCTTTCACTTTAACATTACACTCCCTTGATACAGACCTTTCATCTAACTTTCCCTGTCCATGTCCCTCAGAATGTTTTTATTTCTGTGTCTTTTAAAACTGTGGATTGCAATGAACTTTTTTTAAAACAAGGTTTTAACAAGACAGTTGCATATTTTCATAACAAGGAATTTTAAAACAGTTCTGAGCTCTGTCCTTGTGGCTGTGGGTTCCTGCAACGTGCAGACAATCTGGAACTAAAGAGGTGTTTACTAGTGAAGCTGATTGGTTCTCAGCTAACTGAGGAGGTTGGAACTGGGAGAGAAACTGCACAAACATGTGTCCTTCTATCTTCCAAGCAGCAGCTACCTGTTCTCTGCAGCAAAAAGTTTAATTTGTCCCCTCTCTGCTTTCTCTGCTCTGAAGAATACAGCCTCAGTTTATCCTGCCTCTCTTCATAACGAACATGTTCCATCACAGGCAACATCCTGGTAAATCTTTTCCACACACTCTCCAGTGCAATTGAAAGGTCACAACTCTCAGCAATCACTGCAAGAAAGGGAACTGATTTTCTTCAGTTTAAACTTTATTTTACTGCAAAGAACAGGCAGCTTCTGCTTGGAAGATAAACTGCACAGACATGTGTTCTTCTCTCACTCTCTCTGAATATATGTCTGTAACTTATATCCAGTTCCAACCTCCTTAATTAGCTTCACTTGTAAACAACTCTTTAGCTCCTAATTGTCTGCCCATTGCAGAAACCAACATCCACAAGAACAGTACTCACAATTGTTAGCAAATTCTTTGTTATGAAAATCTGCAACCATCCTGTTAAAACCCTGGTTTAAGAAAAGTTCTCATTGCAATCCACAGTTTTAAATGATGCAGAAATAAGAAGAAATGTTCCTTATAGCTAATAGAGGAAAATCAAGGCTACTGAGCCTCATTTAGTTTTCAAATAACAAATGAAGCTGTGTCATAGCACGTGAAGCCAAGCAAACTAAAATATTTGGAGTTAGTACTTGCTGATCAGGGTGAGGTACAGGGTTAATGCCAAATACAATGGGTTTTTCTAAACCTGAAAATCGGCGTATACTGTTCAAGGTAACAATGTTTTTAGGTCTATCATCCCCAAATGCTGATTCTGCTTCATCTAAACATGCATTTATCTTACATCTTTTGAGTTCAGGCTGCAGCAGATCGCTATACTTTTTGCATTCTTCCTGTGTACTGCAGAGAATAGCCATCTGTTTTGTTGTATAGCCCACTTCAAGGTAGTATTTTATTTTGTCCCTGATGTGTTTGGCAATGTTTTCTGGTGTCATTTTTGATTTCTCAACCTTCCCTGGAAAAGAATGCCCACAATTAGCTTCTTCACACAGTTTAGTAAGAAATTTATATTTCACTTGATTCTTTTCTAAACGAAGAATCTGATTCATGTTTGAACGGACAAATTCATGTATTTCCTTGGCATTTCGGACTCCTGTCGTTAATTCTTCTCTTGGATCCTGGTCTTGAATCTTTGGCAATCCAGTTGGAAAAAAATGAGACATTTGGAAGTAATCCATGAAAATCCAGAAGACTCCTGCTCCATTTGGATGTGTTACTTCAGCCGTTCTGATTGATTCAGCTTTCTCATACCAGTTTCCAGACTCAAGGCGAAAATTTTGAGCCTCGTCAACAACAATGTGTTTCACCTTCGGGAAATTGTCTCTCATAAATGTCTTCCTTGTAACACAGGTACAATTCGTTTTCCGCCTAAAATTGAAATTAGTTTAGTGTAAACTATCATTTAAAACCGCTTAGCAGTGACAAAATGTATTTCAAAAGTGATACTTGTCAATAATGCCTACACATCTAAGCTATTGCAAAATGCAGATTTAACTTACTTCAGGCCACAACAAGAGTGCCACTTCCCAATACGCCAAGAATTCCAAACACATTCATACAGCAGCAGCATGACATTGTGCATGCGTTACGATGTATTTACAGGGATCAGTGTGCCTGTAGTGAGGAGACTGGCGTGAAAAGGAGAACATGAGACTGAGGATGACATGAAAGTGAGGGTCCATGGGACTCTATCCGTTGGTCAGAGGCAGAAGGCTTACGCTTCAGGTTGCGGACCCTTTGGATGCCTTAGGAGCAGAGGCTGTGAACAGCAAGAGGTGTTGGGAGACATTCTGGGGAGCTGAGAGGACTGTGAAATGTTGCTGGCCTTGTATCGTAGAACGAGCAGCCCAAGCAGGTGTTGCTACACATCTAAAGTGTTGCTGTTGGTTCTGAGGAGCTGGAGGCTTATTGAAATCCCAGGAGCTGTTTGGTAGTTGAAAGTGAGGTTATAGGAATCCCACAAGCAGTATTTGTGTTGTTCGGTTGAGAGAGAGGAGTTCAGGGAAAGCCCTTCAGGGTCAGTGAAACTAGCTACTTGCAAGAGTTAGAACTGTGCCAGTGAGTAGATGTTGGAGGGTAGCCTCTCCAGCCCCGTGGAACTCAGTAGTAGAACTACCAGGATATGAACATTTACTGCAGCAGACTGAGTTGGAGGAAGTTCAGAGGCTAGATCTTCAAAAAGGGTAGATTTGATACCCCATGTGAAGGAGGCAAAGTTTCGGTGACATTGTGTGTCACTAAATCTAATTATCGTCTGGGTGGGCTGCTGAGAAATGTGTGAGAACTGTCTCAACCACAACTGCAATTTGATGAAATCCTTGGAGTTTTCAACCTCAGTTTATCTATTACGTTTGCCAAGTGTTAATTCTGCATGTTAGAGTACAAGTTGTTTAGATATTATAGATTGTTTTACTTGCTTAAGCTTTTGTAGTAATGTTTATTTTGTTCATTTATAAATCATAGGATCTTGTGGGTTTATTCTCTCAGAAAGTATCTGGTCTAGTTTAAAAAATTGTACAGGTCCCTGACTAGATCGTCTAGATAAATTTGTCTCATTTGGGATTGTAACGTAAGTACAGCTACATAAGCCTAATTTTAGGAAGGATTGTTTACTATAACTCAGTTGCAGCATTATTACCTCAGCTCGAAGATTGTGGGTTCATGTGCTGGTCTGAATACTTTAGCACAAAATCTAGGCAGACACTCTAATGCAATATTGACTAAGTGGTACACTGTTTAAGGTACCAGCTGTTGGAAACAGTGTTAAATTAATATGCTGTCCACCCTTTC